TAATAAGGTACATTTATTAATTTCCATTGCTCTTTTATAATTTTCGAGTTAGAACGCAAAGTTACATTTTTTTTAGTATCAACCATAGTTGGCTTTGACATTTTTAAAAAGTTTTTCTGTTTACAGTGATATAAGGTTCGTGGTACTTACTTCTACCACAGATCTACACATACAACAGATTGCTAACCTTATGCATTTTATGGGAAACACATTTAGGTATACTTAGAAGCGCCCTCTATTGAGCAGCAGATAATGCACGCTTAGTGAAGTGACAGACGGAAAACGCCAAACGTCAAGTAGCGGAAAACCGTTTATAGTTTGAAGACATTTTCTATTTGTAATCAGTAGTAATTCCTCCGTTAACAGTGAATTTATTTTGGGATTTGTTTCGGACTAGTTAATTTGTTGCTTGCGAGCCTTTCGTTTTCAAGTTTCCTATGAAGTATCTACTATATTGCCGATTTTTGTGTCTTACTTAGCTACTGTAATTAATCTTTGAGGTAGGTAAGTACATGTAGTAACATTTTTGCTTGCATGCAATCACCTTATCTACTCATTCTCATTGATCCAAGAGAACCACACCGCCGATATGTGTAATAATGGCATATGCGTGCGACTTAATGGTCAGGTGCTATCCAAATCTATCTTCCGCCCCATCGAGCGATTATGCAAAAATAATGTCTTCAAACTAAAAACGGTTTTTCCGCTACTTGACGTTTTACGATTTTCGTCTGTCACTTCACTAAGTGTGCATTATCTGCTGCTCAATAGAGGGCGCTTTTAAGTATACCTAAATGTGTTTCCCATAAAATGCATAAGGTTAGCAATCTGTTGTATGTGTAGATCTGTGCTTCTACAAATAAACATGATATAAGTAGAACTGTTTGTATTGAGAGTAGTAAAAACATATCTTGTCCTAATTTTAATGTCCTTGCGGCCGGTATTATAAAGCATAGTTAACTATGTTGTCAGGCTAACAATATTGTTAAGGGATGTAATGGGATGTTTTTTTTTCAAAGAATAACATCATTTTTTGAAAAAACATCCAATCACATGCCTTATCAGTTATCAACATTGTTAGCCTGACAACATAGTTAACTATGCTTTATAATACTGGCCGTTAGTTTCACTTAAAACTTTAGAGCCACGTATAGAACAACAACGACAAAAAATTACGAATTAGTACATTTAAATTTCTACTCTGAAGTAATTACCTACCTCTCGGCAAATGTTCAAAATGTTCACCAACATTATTTACACACAAGTGGCATCTTTTCGCGATAGAATTGGTAGCTCTCCGATTTTACCATCTAAATTGTGGAAGGCATTTACCACAGCATCATATAGTTCTCCTTTGGTTGCATATGCTTGCTGATAAATTAAGTCCTTTAGAACACCGAAAAGAAAAAAAATGTTTCAAAACCTACTCGTGGGTGTTGTCGCGTAGTACAACTGTAAGTGATGAGTAACGGGCTATCAATTAGCGAAAACCCAAAGTTTCTAGGCGGCCCAGGGCCCGAGATCTCGATGGAACAGACGAACGGACAGACATACGACTGAAAATCGAGAACAGAAGCGTTACCTTACGCTAAAAAATCTAAAATTTACAGATCTGGCGATCTTCGTAACCGAGGGACCAGCGCGCTCCTAATAGAAGAATTTGGAAATCGTTGGTTTAGGTGCTCTTGCATTTGGTTGTGCGGCGGAGCACCGTCGTGTTGAAACCAGCGTAAATTATGTCGTGTTTGCAGATCTAACCTATCGAACATATCTTGAAATTCATTTTGTAGAAAAGAAAATTTCGACATAAATGAAAGGTTTAAGAATTTAATTTAAATTGTATTTACAGAACTGTCACCTTCCAAATAAAACAATGATGATGAGCAGTATTTTGTTTGTTTATTGTTCTCGGTGGTATGATACGATCTACTTTTAATAGTGTATTCAATATGATTACTGATTTCACTTTCATAGTTAATTTTCGAAGATGGCCTTTAAATATGTTAAATGTGCTAAAAATCTTATCTGCATGATGAATTATCACCTTATCTTCTTAACCTTTCGCACTGAGGATAAATATCTTCTATTGATAGAATAAGTACAGGGAATTTAAGAACCTTTGCACATTTTATAGGCATCGCACATGGATCAGGTACTTCACCGAAAGTTGTTGAGATATAATTCGGTGATTGTTCTGTGGCGACATGTTTTGGGTTTGCAACGAGTTTAGTTCGCACTATGGGAACTAGCATTATCAGTCAAAACTCCCACTAGAACAAAGTTCGAGAAGATTTTTTGATAAATTTTTGATTGGGGCATTTTTGTTATCAGATTTTTAATGATTTTTGGAACGGAAAGGTCGCAGGGATACAGTTCCACAGGTGTTTTGGATGGTAACAACCTAGCTTTATAGCATTCGTCCCCAGTCGGCCTGGATTTAATGCTGATTAAAGCTTAAGTCGTTTAGGATCACTTTTTCTTTCTTTACTTGGCTATGTTTCCGTCAGTAGGGCTTTCGTAGATGACGCGCATGCATTTGAAGGTACTATTTTTGAAGTTTTGAGCTTTCTCGTTAAGTTTTCAGGGGTTTGGAATATACTTGGAGCACCTTAAGCCATATATTTGCAGGTAAGTTAGCTACGTCAGTGAACTTCTCCCCGTTGGCCACCTTCAAAGTTTACTAAAGCTCATAGCGGGTCTGAGGTGGTATTTATTACGATTGTTGTGATACGTATGGGAAGCGTAAAAAATTCCAGTATAAAAATCACAAATGTCCAATAATTTGAAAATCTGCAGCTTCCAATTTATGTAAATGGGTATCTAATGATCCTATATTTTAATCTAAAAAAACTGAAAGCATTGAATAATAAGTTTCTTCACTCAACGTTGAAAGGCAATTACCTGAAGTTGATTTAATAAATGCCACTAATCTATTATGTTGAAGGTAACGTCTGATTCCATTATGAGTTTTTACTTGACTAAGTTTAAAATTAATGTGCCCAAACTTTAAAACAAAGAAAGCAAAAAAATAAACCTATATTTTAGCTTCATAACTTTGTTGACAGTCTCAACTATCGTGCTATCGTGGTAGAACCAGCAATGAATGGAAAACTGCAAGCCGGGTTTTAGAAATCCACAAGTTTAGTTATAAATATACTACTAAAATAATCCCACCAACATACAGACAGTATCTAGAGGTTGTTATCCACAACAATTAAATACCACTACATTATGGTGGAAAGATCCTATAATTTTATTACTTACAGGTATTACAGGGATAGGAATCTCAATTTCAGTTAATGACAGATATACACACAAAGAGATCTTGGATGATTAACAGCTATAGCGAGGCACGTTTAAAAGGAAAAATATACTTATACCAAAGAGTAACTTCTTTGCTTATACTTACCAACTTTTCCCTGAACTATTCTATAATTTAAAATAACAAACCTCCAGAGGTATTTGGAGACACGTATACAATTGAATTTATAAATTCAATGGTTATATACTCAATTCACCAGTACTTTTACCAGTGGCGTAGCTAGGGGGGTGCGGTAGGTGCGGTCCGCACCGGGCCCCTGAAATGAAGGGGCCCTATAATTCATCCGTGTAACCGCGCGGCCGGGGTAACAAAAATTATGCAACATTTTTGAAAATCTGTGGTTGATCGATAGTTTGCAGAAATACTGTAACGGAAACGCTCCAGACGTGACGTCGCCTTTGGCGCTCTCGAATTTTCTACGCGCGCGATAGCGGGATTTGTATAGGAATATTCGAGACTTATCTGGTAATGACGCGAGTGTTGTCGACTTACATTGCTTGCGTGTATAAATGGTTGCGGACCGAACATCGCAGTCAGTTTTACTACCGAACGAGATCGAGTACGGACGAAACATTGAGCGCGAAAATCTGATATAAATTGCGAAGTGTGTAATATAAATAGTGGATATAAATTGTACAGTTTTTATAGTGTTTTAGTTTTGTTTAATAAATATTGATATAAATCGAACCCGAATTTGTAAATCACGTTACAATACGAATAAAATAAAGGTAAGTAAATTTGTAAGTTCTGACCATTTTTAAGCTAATCAAAAATGAGCTAAAACAAGCCGGCCTTCGTAATTCATTCTGTTATGTTCTATGCTATTCATTACTTTTATGCAGTTGACAAAACCGCTGCACTGAGTGCAATGTGACTCGACGACAAAACTATAATATTACGCACGCTTCGTTGTGACTCGTTTTTGGAGTTCGGTTACGGACGCCCGCCAGCAACTTGAGATTGTCAAACCTTGCAATTTTATCTATTGAGCGTGAAGTTACTGATTCGATTGATTTCAATTCTGTTATTGCTGATTTTGCTAATACGAAAGCACGTAAAATAAGTTTATAGAACTTAATAGTTATTTATATAACAAGAGCGCGAAGTTCAATTTCGCGCATTGAGACTGAAGGTATTTTGACGAGGCGAAGCCGAGTTAAAATATCAGTCAAATGCGCGAAATAACTTCGCGCTAGCGTTATATACAATATTTTTTCTACAACTGAACCGATTGTTAATTAAATTGCTGTTTATGTTCAACTTTGTCCCGTGCGCGAAATACTTTTTTTCACTGTTGACGATTTCGCGCACGTTGTCAAGAGCAACCTTAGGTACTTATTAATTAACCGATTAAAAATCTAGTACTTCGCGTTTCGAAATCCGTCAGAAAATGACAGGTTTTTTTGACAGTTGTAGAAAAATGTATTTTTTTTACACAAAACGCTGTAAATAAATTTCCTAAACCAAATATAGCTTATTTTTGTTTAAATGTTTCCCATTAGGTTATCACACATATTTCGTATTTCTTTGGGGGCCCAGAAATTTGGATCCGCACTGGGCCCAGAGAACCCTAGCTACGCCACTAACTTTTACAAGCTAACAGGATACGGTGAAATTGTAATAAGGAAAGAATAATGAAATTTAGACATTAATTGTCAAACAAAAAAGGAAAGCCTATCTATAATTGCGCAATATTTCCGTAAGCGTAAAATGCAACTACCCTTCTTTAACAACATTTATTAACAACCAATTAGGAATAAAGAGAGCAGGTATTAGCTAACATGCTTGCCGGCTCCAAAAGCGGAATCGCTTCTTCGTTCAATAGTATAAATTCCGAACTGTCCGGCTCGGGGACTGTAATTTTGTACGTAACTGCCATTTCCGTAAATACAATCATATCGACGACGATTAATATCGCAAACAGAAAAAATTCGTACGCCTGCGTTAATTTCTCTGAAATTACTCTTTACCCCCTCATTAAGTCTCTTACCTGACTCCGAAAGAAGTTCGCCTGTGTAATTACGATGACAAAAAAGTTACCGACGGCTACTGAAAGGTACCAACCGGCAATCGTAACTGTTTTTAAACACTTGGGTGCCTGTAAGTGAAGTAATTTTCTTGCAATGAAATTATATGTTGCATCAGACTTCATACTTGAGTAAACGAGAATTCCAATCCGGCTATGCCAAACATAATTTCTGCGATGGATATAAGAAAGTATTGGGGTATCAACCACGTCATGGGTATGCTGTTTGGCGGGGACATCGTGTATACCTTTGCAAACTATAAGAGTTTGTTAATTAATTTTTTTACGTTATGGTCAAATTAATTACGTCGATTTTATCCAGGTGCTGCCTTATGACCAGTGTGTAAATGCCGCCCAGCTCTAGTCTGGTTACGTTGCCGTATAGATTTTCGTTTTCCCGACATTTCACCAAGTACGTATATCTGAAAACGGAAAGTTATTTTCCTTACTCAAAAAATACCGTCTTGTTACCACTCCCCCGGTGGTAACTCCAGGTAGGCGGATACCGCCATGTGTTTTTGAGGTTTGTAGTCCACAAAGTACACGTCGTTTAGACCCTCGGCGTTTGCAAGTGAAATGGTTATGTTATGAAACACTTCTGCGTTTCCAATGTAGACAATTCTGAAAAATAATATTCATTTATGTCACTTGGATAAAGATGAACGGACTTAAATGTATAAAAATTGTTGGTGATCCCATATCGCTTGGATATAATCATTCCATGCGAAGTCATTTTAACTTTTTTTTCAAAAGAACCCAATTGTGAAATATACTTCCCCAATTGAAACGTCTCCGTAGGAAAAAAATTGAAATTTTAAAGCACAGTGTATGGCAAGACATCACCAAAACGACTTTTATACAATGTTCGTTAATTAATGTCCTTAGAAATGCAGGAAGTTGAGAAGTAGAAGTTTTTGTCAAGTTTATCAAGGTGTCGTGTAATAAAATTTTATCATCCGATCAGAGATTAATAGTACATTATATACCAAGGTAGAGAAGTCCAGTATTATTGCCTGAGCACAAAGATTACATCCCGAGACGCTTGCGCCGAGGGGTGTAAGGTGCGAAGGCAATAATAGACTTCTCTACCGTGGTCTATATACTATTTTTTTCACTACTAGCACTTGAAGTCCTCTAAATTAACATATTATATTGATATGAAAGTGAACGGTTGGACAGAATTTTTTGTTTATTAATTTAACATGTTAATCAAGTGCGTGGAAGTACAAGTCAAACAGCCCGTATTTTGTTCTGTCATTGAGATATTTTCAAAGAGTAATTTCGTTCGATTTTTTTCAAAATGTGATAATTTTAGGTATGTAATTTCTCTGGAAATGGCGGATGGTGGCAATTATTCATTTTAGAGAACTTGTCCAAACGTTTATTGAGCGAAATTTCGGGTTGTTTTCTAAAAGTGACAGCGTGACAGTTCTCATTATTGACTACTAGTTAATAATGTCTACATTATTAACCACTTTGAACAAATGCCGAGAAAGCCTACTTTACAAGTGGATAAAAGGTTAATATTCATGTCATCAGACGCTAGTAGTGAAAAAAAATAATTAGTTAACCTTATCAATCCAGTACCAACGTTTAAATAAAAGCTGTCAGATCTCCTGACCAGATTATTTGGATATTAATTAACTGAACTGAGTGTACCTAACTATTTTTTCCAATTTGACCGTTTTGCAAACGGGGTGTATGTTTTCAAAAAGGCGTTGTTAGTCTTAACTTTTTCCTACAGTTTTTTGTATTGGTTTTTATCATAATGTGTCTTAGAATAAATTCTAATCAATTATGCATCAATTTGAATCCCAGTTCGAGATCCAGGAAGAGTTTTATTTTTCTGTGTCAGATTTTTCTAATTTCTTTTTATCCGAATGTTAATTGAAATGCAATATTTTAGTATTGAATTAAATGATATCTGGCCACACCTCGTGCTCCATCAAGTCTCATCTACAACGAACCTGTAGAGGTAAATACAGTTTCACATGCTGAGTGCCGCGCGTCATTGATTTGTGAATCAATTTTAGATAAGTTTTTGATTGATTTCGCACACTTGATAGATGTTACAGTGTTTTAGCGTGTCTGCGTATGTCTGACGTTGATTCACCAATCAATGACGCAGTGATTCAAGTATAATTGAATAATACATATTATTTGCAACTTGAAGCTGAACATCAGTCAATTATTAGTACCTAATCTCCACAGGGGTTTGTTTTGTTATAATACCCTACCGTTTGGGGTAAAATATGCTTTAGTTTACTTTAAGTGGTAAAATTAAACCACTCGCTTCAAAAGTAAATGCAATCCTTATGCTCGCATTCCAGAAGACCTTATACCCAGTTATGTTGTTATGTAGGTACACGGAGAAAAATGGAATGTTAAAATCATATAGTAAAAATTATATTGTAATCAGTACGAGAAGCTATTATTAAATCAAACAAACCTTGACACACGCTGTACAATATGAATTAGATAGACAGCGCTGTATAAATTTTAGACTCTCATAATTCGTCCCGCCAAATACGTCGACTGCGTCCTCCAGCGGCTATGTTTTTATGAGAATAGTACAAACTACCTGGCGGGGTAAGAAGACGCGCGAAATGGCAAAGCACAGTTATTTTTAGAATAAAGGGCTATTGTATGGGATATCGGTGTCATTCCTAAACGCAACCTTGTGTGGGTGTTATAGATGTTTTTATCTGGTTACCTTACTGTAAATTAAAATTCCGAATATTCACATCTTGTTTTAAATTAAATTTTTTATGGTAACACAACGAAGTTGAGGTAAAGCTTATGTGCTCGTGTTTCCGTCTGTCCGTCCGTCCGTCCATCCGTTCCATCGAGATCTCGGCCCCTGGGCCACCTAGAGACTTCGGGTTTTCGCTAATTGATAGCCGTTATGGTCTATATTTGCCCATTTCGATCAGTTTCGTATTTTCCATATTTTGCGTAGACTGCGCAATGCCAACTTTCATATTTATGGAGATATTTCTTTGAAATTTTAACCACAGACGCTTCAAAGATCATTATACATGATCTTTGGACGCTTCTAGTTCCGACTTTAGCTGGACACAATTTTATTATGTAGGAGGCTAAGCGGGATATCTCGTTTATCCCAATCATAAAATGCTTAATTACAACAAATCTAAATTAAATGTGTGGTTACAATGTAAATATGCCTGGATAAGTAGGTGCATATTATATTTGAAGATTTGCTAAAGTATCGTAGATACGTGAAACTAAAAGTTTTCAGAAATTATGCTAAGAAAAAAGACGGTTTTGCAATTATTAATTTAATCCGAAAATCTGGAAAATGTATTGGTTAGCGCTGGTTAAAAAAAGCAAAGGGAATATTGTGTACAACTTTCAAATTATTTCTTTCATTGTAACGTCCTGTCTGTAATAGAATCTACCTCGTCTTGAATGACGCCCACTTACAAATGTAATTTTATCCCAATGATAGTGAGGAGTGTTCAGTAGGTCATGTTTATGTGTCTCGTGTTTAGACAATAATCACTTTGTATTTATATATGATTCGAACTCGTACGAAGACGGCTTCCGATGAATCAGTTACGTTCTTAACTTTGAATTGAAAGCCCCCTATAAATATTTTTATGGAACTATTTAAACGCGAAACAACTCTTGCATATACGCTGGCTATCTAGTGTAGTATGATCTTTGATATGTCTAATCAAAATTATTCTCACTATAATAATGATATTGTATTAAATATGATCTTAGATATTTAAATATATCCAAGAGCAAATAGATAATAAACATTAAAATATAGTTTATTAACGAAATGGGTTTATTATTTGTGTAGGTATAATACAGTTTAGTATATAACGCATTCTTAAATGAAAACCTTGCCGTTGAAAGATTGTTAGTTTAACAACCCATATAATAATTTATAACATATGATGTAATTGTAATGATGCTGAATCTGCAATATAAGCATAAGCTTATTTTGAGAACAACCGTTGCAAAGGTTGCATTAAATTATTAAAAGCTCTGTATTGTATATTGTATGCGGTTTTTGTTCAGTCGACAGTCAGTTCAGTGCGTATGTGTATGTGGCTCGCAATTTTGGTGAAGTTTATAGATGAATTCTATACCACTTATAATCATGAGTGATGTTCCATAGATTTTGAGGGTTGGGCCAATACAATATGGCAGTATAAGTACAATAAAACTGTATTATATTGATTATTATACCTTATTGTTGCAAATATATCATGGTTTTTGAACTTATAATTTTATATATTCGAAACCAATATGTGTGTATCCTGATTTTTCTTAAAAAAGGAAGGTTTTACACTGCCTTTTTTTGAGCCCGGAAAAAAATTGTCTCAGATCGACCCGGAAAAAAAATTTTCTTATAGAATGTGGCCTGTAGAATCCATAATTTCAAACAGTTCCAAGATTGGGCTACTAATTCAAAAGTTACAGCCCTTTGAATTTTCTTTCGAAATTGGTTTCTAGTCTATAACTTTTGATTGAGAAGTCTGGTCGAAAAAGTACGAATTGTTTTGGATTCTACGCACCAAAATTAATAAGAAAAAGTGTTTTCCCGAGAAATTTTGATGCAGTCGATTTTTGGTAAAAAAAGAAGGTTATACACTGCCTTTTTTTGAGCCCCGAAAAAGAAATTGTCTCTGATCGATCCGGAAAAACAATGTTCTTATAGAATGTGGCCTGTAGAATCCATAATTTCAAACAGTTCCAAGATGGGGCTACTAGTTCAAAAGTTACAGCCCTTTGAATTTTTTTTCGAAATTGGTTTCTAGTCTATAACCTTTGATTGAGAAGTCTGATCGAAAAAGTACGAGTTGTTTTGGATTCTACGCACCAAAATTAATAAGAAAAAGTGTTTTCCCGAGAAATTTTGGTGCAGTCGATTTTTGGTAAAAAAAGGAAGGTTATACACTGCCTTCTTTTGAGCCTCGAAAAAAAAATTGTCTCAGATCGACCGGGAAAAAAGATTTTCTTATAGAATGTGGCCTGTAGAATCCATAATTTCAAACAGTTCCAAGATTGGGCTACTAGTTAAAAAGTTACAGCCCTTTGAATTTTCTTTCGAAATTGGTTTCTAGTCTATAACTTTTGATTGAGAAGTCTGATCGAAAAAGTACGAATTGTTTTGGAATCTACGCACCAAAATTAATAAGAAAAAGTGTTTTCCCGAGAAATTTTGGTGCAGTCGATTTTTGGTAAAAAAGGAAGGTTATACACTGCCTTACTTTGAGCCCCGAAAAAAAAAATTGTCTCAGATCGACCCGGAAAAAAATTTTTCTTATAGAATGTGGCCTGTAGAATCCATAATTTCAAACAGTTCTAAGATTGGGCTACTAGTTCAAAAGTTGCAGCCCTTTGAATTTTCTTTCGAAATTGGTTTCTAGTCTATAACTTTTGATTGAGAAGTCTGATCGAAAAAGTACGAATTGGTTTGGATTCTACGCACCAAAATTAATAAGAAAAAGTGTTTTCCCGAGAAATTTTGGTGCCGTCGATTTTTGGCAGGGTGTGTATCTCGGTGAGTATATTAGTTGCAATAATCTAAGTTACTTATTAATACAAAGCGGAGATGTTAATTCAACTACTCCCGTATTACAAAAGCATGCATATGAGATGGTTGCCGTTACATACAGTTTTTTTTGTATGAGTTAAAACAATATATAGTAAAACTAGCTATACACTTGCAACAATATGTATATGATAAATTTTATAATTAATCTTAAGTAGTCATGGACTATGATAAAAGAAAAATAGTTTCCATGTCCATGAAAATAGCTATTCGAATCGATAATTCTTGTAGCTAACGAACCCCTTCTATAAAAAAATTGGAAAATACCAATTCTCAAACAGCTCCAATAAAGTTACAAACTAAATTTTTACCGACATAAAGGCAGAAGATGAAAATGAAATTTTAAAATGCGGACCAAACTTTTCAATATAACCGAATTAGTAGTCAGCACAGAGTAAGTTATGGAAAACCGGTTGGGAAAATCGCAATTGTTGCATTCAACGTCAACCAGGCACATATTTATCGAAATGGAAATTACGCTCACCTACCTGATTTTCGGTTTTCCGTTCAAAGACCTTTTGAAATCAATCGGTTCCGTTACATAAGCTACGACCTCGTTGTGACTATTAACGGTAACAAGAATTGTGTCAATCTAAAAAGTTTCAAGAAAGTTAATAATAAAGTTCGGTTTTTAATGAAAAATACCTGTAAAGCGGCAGCGACAAGTTCAAAATTAAATTTCTCATTCTCCAGCTCTAAATTTCCGCAGCTCGTAGGAGCCTCAACCATTATATTGTACGTGGTGTTATTACGAGCGGGTAGGTTTTTGAGATGATATAGCATGGAAGCACAAAGGGCCTGCATCCCATTAACAGGGCTGTTTATCAATATATCGCAGGGGAGAGTATTTATAAAGTTAAAAGACGCCCTATTTTTAGCGGGAATGTCTGGATAAGTTGTTTCCAATACAAGTTCGAGAATTCCCGCCGATAAAAAGGCAGCTCCGGCAATAATTCCACCGACAGCCATGCGATGCAAAGGACATTCGAGTACGTGAATTCTGTTTAATAAAGGGTAAAGTAAGCGGTCGAATATGGGGATGAGAACGAGTACAATGGCCGGGTTTATGACTTGCATTTGATCGGGTAGTATTTGCGAGCCCAAGGCTGATCCGTCCATTCTCGACGCCTGCGAAAATACTTTATCGTGTATCTCGAGCGTAATATTCATACTTGAAATGTCCATCTGGAACCCTGCTGATCGAAGAGAGACCAAAAGATTGGTAGAGGGGCGAACAAAAGGAGAACCGCAAATACAGTCTTCATATCCGATATTAACTTATTATCCGGAAATTTATCTTTGGCATAGTCCAACCAGTGCTCGTATTTCACAGTTTTATTCTTAACCTTCTGACTCACGGCGTACTAAGGGAAGCTTTGATTAATCGTCCGTTGTGCACTGTTCGATAACTTACCAAAGTGCACTGAATGAACTTTAGCATCACGTTTTCTTTGGGCGTTTTCAATCGATAAAACGGCTTTCCCAGCATGAACATGACTAAAACTGAATAATCACACGCCGGATTAACACGACGATAAACTTACGTAACGCCAGTAACATTAAAAGGGCGGGAAATCCGAAGCCAAGGGGGTAGCAAGTGTCTTCGCCGAAGCAAGTCACGCTCTTTCTCAATATAGGCGTCAGAATCATTCCGACGAACCCTCCCAGATTTATGCTGAAGTAAAATATCGAGAAAAAGTGCTGTAATAACTCTTGTTGCTGGGGTAAGTGAAACTGGTCACCCCCAAATGCGGCGACACACGGTTTAATTCCCCCGGTTCCTATCGCAATTAGTCCCAATCCAAACGATGTTAGTAGCCTGAAACGTATTTTTTTAACTTTCATTGATTTAGTTACTGATTTGAAACTGAAATGCTATAATGTCATCATGATGACGTGCTAAGCAGTAATTCGAATCGACAGGAAAACGTATTTCATCAAGGAAAGAATTGACGATGCAAATTTTGACCTAAAAATGCAATAAGTTCTCGTTTCATAATGTACCTATCTGAAAGTTATTTTTGGACAGGTCAAGTTCAAAGGTGTCGTTTCGATCATGTCTACTGTATAAGCGATCGAAGAGACAAAACTTTGATACACAGTGATATTCATTTAGAAGTAGACATAGGGATTTCCTATGCCTAGTTCTAAATGACAAAAACCTTCTGAAGGACGCCTAATTTTATACAACCAAAATAACTTTTTAAAACAAAGATTTTGCTGTCATATTAATTAATTAGAATTGTCAATTGGTATAGTGCCGGTAATAGTTTAAGGAGCGTAAAAGACATTTTCTGTGTTGATCACTTTAAAATTAGCGGTTATTTGAATGCAATCCACATAAGATACCGTAAACAACCCTCAATTTGAACGGAAGATATGAAACTGAATGTTTTAATTTTTGCAGAAGCGAAGCCAATAAGAAACGTAAGGGAAATAGCGGCCGATTTTAATATCCCTTCATCATAACCTAAAAGCATACTGTCGTTTTTATTAAAATCTAGAATAAAAATTGAAAATGTGTGGGCGTTATTTCGGTTGCATAAAATTATGCGTCTTTCAGAAGGATTTTTGTCATTTACAAGTAGACATAAGAAATCTCAATGTGTACTTCTAAATGAATAACACTGTATAAGAGAATTGTCTAGTTTAAATTGATAAGTACGCAAAAGCCGACAGTACAAAAGGAAATATTAAAAGCAGTTTAGGGCGGTGTGCTTGCTAAAGCCACCTGATTTACCAAATGTACCTATTAACAATCTTTCGACTAAGGCGGTTCTCCTAAAATTTTTCCTTGTTTCCCCAATTTGTTCTTGTGATACCTTCGCGTAAATGTGCAAAAAATGAAATAGAATCCTTGGGGAGGGAGGTGTCTTCCCCAATTTCTTGCTTTGTACTACGATGGGCATAGAAAAGAAAAATTGAAGTATTTAAGGTCAAGGGAAAATGTCCGGAATTGGTTTAATTTCCTACGGTAACCCTAGGAGGCGAAACATCCACTTGAAAACGGGAGCGGAAAACCAATTTTGATTTGGATATACAGTGTGTTACAAATTCCGGGCATTACCCCGCTGGATCTAGCCCTCCCTCCTCACTATTATGAATTAATTTAGGAATTGTATCTAATTTATGAGTTATTTAGGAGCAAACAGTATAGCGCTCGACGCTCGTTTAAATCACCAGGAATCTAAAATTTATTATGGGGTGACCGAATCTACTTGGATTCAGTCCCCCCCCCCCCCACTGATTGGAATTACTTTTTCAAATTAAATTTTGTACTGAAATTGCTTGCAAATTAAAGCTCTTAAATTGCTCGTAACTCATGTATAAAAATTAATTTGATATAAGTAAAGGAAAACAGAGCAGGGACTACGTTCAAGTGGACTTGGCCGCCTTACTACGAGTATTACATCTGGCGCTCAAAAATTGCAATTACTTGTAAATGAAAGGTCTTCAGGAGCAAATAAATATAATCCTTTGGACATAGTCGCTCCTCTCTTTTCCTGTACTTATTTCAAAGAAATTTTTATCCATGAATTACGAACTATCCTAGAGGTTTCACTTACAATCATTTTTAATGTTTGAGCTTCACTTGTAAAAGGTCAAATAGAAGTAATCGGAGGAACCCAGGTTTATATTGGGACCTAGTCCCGTCTATGTTTTCCTTTACTTATTTCAAATTAACTTTTATGCACGAATTACGAGCTATTGAAAAGTTTTCATTATTATAAGTAATTCTAATTAACTCCACCCTCAAAGGGGCAAATATAGATATAAAAGTTTGCAATTTCAAAGTAGCTTTTCCTCTACTTACCTTAAATTAATTTTTAAGCATGAAATACGAGCGATTTACGAGTCACTTACAAGTAATTCTAATTTGTGCGCTCGGCCCCTATAAAGCATATACAGAGTGGCCCAACGAGAAGTATACAGAGGGCTTTTAGGGTATTAAATTTATAAATTTCGAAAAATCCTCGAACACGTAAATTTTGTATTCGAGGGGGATAACTTTTGGAATACAAATCACGAACCCAAGTCTTCACCCCTACCCCTACGTAGGGAGCTTAACCCCTAAAATTTTAAATGGAATCCTATGGCAAATGGCACATTATTTGTAAGCCAATTTAATCGTGATTACTAATATGCTTTGCGTTTTAAATTCTATTGATTCGTTTCGGAGATATTCGCATTTGAAATGGTTTTTTTCCCCTGATTTAAGTCCTTTAGATTACTTCTTGTGGGGATATTTAAAGAATAAAGTTGATGCTACTCCGCCCGGAACATTACAAGGGTTGCGAGCACGTATAACCCTAATGTAAGAATAGAATACATTATGGTATAAATCAACAATATCGAGCGATTACCACTGAAATCTTGCAACATCTACGGCAGCGTTTTGAAGCAAATCTTTATTTTGCATGGAAGCAGGCGGAAGGCAATTCGAGCATTTATTGAAATAAATGTTGTCTGTTTAAAGTTATTTGTTATTTTTTGCACAATTTAAACCTTTTTTAATACATGGTGACTTAGATCGCATTTGTTTTGGGTTTTTTTTAGAAAAAACCATTTCAAATGCGAATATCTCCGAAACGAATCAATAGAATTTAAAACGCAAAGCAGATTAGTAATCACGATTAAATTGGCTTTCAAATAATGTGCCATTTGCCATAGGAATCCATTTAAAATTTTAGGGGTTAAGCTCCCTACGTAGAGGGGTGAAGACTTGGGTTCGTGATTTGTATTCCAAAAGAATACAAAATTGACGTGTTTGAGGATTTTTCGAAATTTCTAAATTTAATACCCTAAAAACCCTCTGTATACTTCTCGTTGGGCCACTCTGTATACGTACTCCTGTGCGCAATGACAAACGGTCACCAAACCATCCACCTACCCAGCTATCTCAATTACAGTCATGTACTAAGACCATCTTAAACTAGAGAAAAAATTGAAATTCACATAGTACAGGGTGACCCATCGTTATTAAAGGTGCTAGTGCCAAAGAAAAAGTACTCATAACGTAGTTTACACAACCATACACTGCGTCCCAAAAAACAATGTATACATTCAATAATAATTAATTGGAGATGTGTTATAAAAAACGCTTCAACCGCTTGATTGTAATTTTTTAATGTGCTTTTGCAGTAAATGCGTGTGTATGTATACCCCAAAAACAAATTACTACTCAACTTTTTTACATTTTGTACATTTAATTTGATTTGTTGTGTTGTCGAAATATCTATAATATAATAGGTATACTACAAGGGACAATTAAAATAACAAATATCGTGTAACCCTAGGCACTAAAATTGAATGTTAGATGGGGAGGTCAAAAATACCCACCGCCCGAAACGATGCATCAACAAATCAAAATACAATTGGCACCCACTTGTGATTAAATGAATCAAATGTTTTCAAACGCGGATTAAGCATGAAGAGTTTTAAAAAAAAAGTGCCACACTACCCCAAAAAAAAAAGTAATTCTAATTCCAAACCAAAGAGTGATTATATTTAGTGAAGTATTTTACTCATTTGGAGTGTCAGATTTTCAGTCTTCAATTTGGTACAAGTCACGGTTTGCCGCCTTACATTCGACCCCAAATCTTCTCGATATTATACCGAGATTAAACATGGCCCTTCGAGCCGGATGTTCAAAAATGGCTAACGATTGAAAAACACATTGTGCAACTAACAATTATCCAAGTAGGTACTAATAATGAGGGAACTTTGGGGTAATAAGCAACATTGCGAACTACCTTAATTAAGGTATGAAGAAGTTTTTCTGTTTGAACTCCATCAGACGCAGAGACTTGGCTAACTATTTTAAGGTCAAGTCGTTTTTTTTGCAATTTCAATGCAAATTTGACCGAAAATTCCACCACAAAAAATTGTCACAGGGAAGGTTATTCCTGAATGTAAATTTCATGCTTTTCATAAATAAGAAATTTTGGTTGGTTTGATAATTTTTTACAATTAAGGCAGTTACTAACGAAACACCACGATGTACTAAATACACAATTTTAACGGCTCAACTTATAGCAAAAATAGAGACAGGAAAATTGAGAGCGTGCAGAAAAATATCCGGAGCTATATAAGAATAAAGGACAGCAGAAAGTCACGAACTTTCGACTTAAGGGCGGATTAATGTAAGGAAGGATCATGATCTCATTAGTATTAATTATAGTCATACACGACGTAATTAAAGCAAGACACTTCAGCAAGGATCAAGTACACGCCATCAATTAAAGCTAGTGAATGCGCGTAAGCAAATGAATTAATATTATGTGCCTATTCCGAAATAAATTAACAGGACAAACACGAATTACGAATATTTCTTCGAATATTATATTAAATCGGTAATTACAGAGCGGCCAGTAATATGCATTCACAGAGGGAATCAGAAAAACCTAAATTGTCTTGCATTTCTTGACGGGTCTCTCTTTGAAATCGTTGTTTATTGCCTCAACGGAATGGTTCTATTCTTGTGACAATATTGACCGCAGTAAATTCGGCTACAAAAATTTCCCCCTAAGAAAACTCACCTCGAGGCGAGTTCTCTCCTACAATACTCAACCCCGGAACATTCGCCCCGAATATGCACTCCGAAAGAATTAGCGATCAAGGAGAATTCGCCCCCATTTAGATACCCACGCGCTATAAACTTGCTCCGAGCGATAATATAAACTTAGAAAAGCTCGAGCTTGAACCTAAGAACACTCACCTACTGAGATAAGTGTAATGTACTCGTAGTTAAAGTTTGTTCATCGTTGGTGTACTTCTGGGCGCGAATTTTTCAAGGGTGGGTGAATTTAGTGCAGTTTT